TCTACGACACCATTTGTCGTAATTACGATCACCTGAGATCGACAACTAGATGGCTATCTGCCAAGAGTCCAATCTTCTGCCATCCTCAGAACAGCACATGAAGAAGCTTTTTTGTGGTCTTCAGAAAAGGCTTTCAGAAGTCACTGCTAAAATTGATAGTAACAGGGAATCCCAAGAAGACAAAGTTTCTTATTCTGGAAATACTTCCTTATAGAAATGTTGGTCTGTTTAAGTAAAGATGTTCTTGAGTTGTCTACAACTACTAATGAATTCATAAATACATTTTTCCAATTTTCTTGATGTTCAGAAAGTGATTGTTGTTCCTCTCTTCCAGAGTGCTTGACTTCCTACTCTATAGTCTACAGCAGAGATGTCAAACTGCCGGCCCATGGGCCGGACGCGTCACCAGGAAACAGCTCCCACCCCATTGCCAGCAATGGGGAAAAAGCTACGATACGTCGCACGATGTCACATATCTGGTCTACAGCCTTAGTATTCCTTGGTGATCAACTATCCAAGAAATAATTAACCTTCCAAACCCAGACAATGTTGGCCAACTACTGCTACTGAAATTACCTTTATTTTTTATTAACTTGGGATAGATTCAAGAGTAGATATTCAAATGACTATTACACAAGCAACACAATACTCCGTTATCAATGAAGAAAGAAAGTTCCTCTGAAGCAACATAAGCGTATGAGAAAAAGATTCAGGCAATTTCTATTGAGAGAAATGATTTTAAAATGAAATCAGTGCATTGCTCTTTTAACCTTAACAAATCTTGCTAAAAACAATCTTGTGGGAATATTTGGGCGGGGAAAATCATTTAGGTTTGGGATAGCTGTCAAAGGTCTGACAAGTTATCACACTCTTTCACCTGGGTAATCTAATAATTATTAGCCCAAATCAGCATACCCAGTTTTATCTTAATTGTTTCCATTTACCACCAAATATCAGGGTGGGTGGGCTGAATCCTTTGGATTGTTTGTTTGTTGTCTTGTAATTTATAGTTGCTGACCAGGATAGGAGCTAGTTTGGAGCAGTAAAACCACCCAGGAAGAAGGTGAAAGTTGGTTTGTCCTTCCTGTTTTTCCCCCAAAGAATTCACTTTTGGATTTAGACATGTGTTCAACGACATATTCCCTTGGAAAATGACTTGTTCTCTATTGGAACCAAATTCAGAATATTGCTTCTGGTTTCTTTAATAAAAAGAGGGCTTTGAAAAAAAATTAAGACAGTGTCTTCAGGACTAGGAAGAAGATACTGCATCTGTCTTGATTTAGTTCAGTATTTTTATGTCTACTTTTATCATGAGTATTTTTAAATACAAATGTATTAGGAATATATAATTCTGAGATTTTAAAGACTTTATAGTACCCATTTCAGCAATGCTAAGAAATGCTAAGCTCTTTATGACATTAATAGCTCAATGTCTTCTAGAAAATAGAACAGGATTTGGGCATTTAACCTACAGAATTTCTCCCATGCCTTTCCTACTATGCTGAATGATATATTATCACTGGGACTGAGTAATGGTATATACCAGGTTTTAGAGAACTGCCTTTAGAGGCAGAATAGTTTATATCAGTGATGGCGAACCTTTAAGAGACTGAGTGCCCAAACTGCAACCCAAAACCCACTTATGCATCATCGAGTGCCGGGTGGGTGTGGCCCATTGGCTGGGTGTGGCCCATTGGGTGGGCGTGGCTGCAGTGATAACGGCAGACTGGGTGGGACTAAAAAGTTCAATCAATCAATTCCAACTTTGCAAGATCTTTTTTTTCCTGTGAGAAGTTGAAATGGACTGATTGAACCTTTTTTTTTTTTTTTGCACATGGTGGCGGAGGCCTAAAGTGAAAAGGTTTTATAAAACCCAGCTGAAGGCCTAGGACTGGGGCGACGGTGCGCGTGCCCACAGAGAGGGCTCTGAGTGCCGTCTCTGGCACCCGTGCCATAGGTTCGCCACCACTGGTTTATATTGTCACTGGATAGACAGAAGGACAGCACCTGAGGTCCTATTACACACTTCCATCAGATAGACATTTAGCAAAACATAACCTTTTTTTTTTCAAATCAAAGGGGAAGAAGGTTGGAATTCATTGTCACGGCAGCTACAAATCAGAAATTGCTGAAGCATCTTTGGAAAACTTTGATGTAAAATCAGAGAACACAGTAAAGAAAAGCCAGTGGAAAGAACACTAACAAAATGTGCTATGTAAATTGTAAAGGCCAATTTTAACTACAGAATAGCTTCTGGATTACTCTTTATCGCTGGTAGGAAAAAACACAAAACAATGTGACTGTACAAGATAATGACCTTACACAATGACATAACAAATGATGAAAGTAAAAATGAGATCATTATTCCAGGAACAATATTTGCTAATATGTCCAAATACTGGGGGGGGTCTTAGAAGAAGGAACAAAAGAAGTCAGTCTTTCAAGAGTAACAAAAAGTGAAATCTTTGCTGGAACAGGATATGTTTGTCACGGACACATCCTTTTCAAGTCAACTTACGTACAAAAAGTAGAACTCAAGTGAGGTACACTTTTATGTCAAATGGATTAGACTATGACGCACGTTTCGACCCCGTTGATGTAATTAGTATTTCCAAATGAACCTCCTGCATTTCATTACATTCATTTGCAGAATGAAATTAGTGGTTCTTAAGTTATCAACTCTTTCTATTTTTTCCTGTTCTAGTATTTTTTTTAATGGGTCAGAAAAGCATTACATAACCACTCACACTGGCAACAGTGCTTTTAAAATATCTATCCGCAAATACAGAATTGCTCAGACTAATGAATGATGAATTAGTATAAGTCCAGAATTGACCCACCCCAATTTCTCCTCTTCCTCTAGCACCCGCCTGGGAGTTCTTAGTTTCACAAATATATTGTAAGGGTAATCACTGCATCTGGGCAAAACTGCTTTCACTAAAACATAATGCTGGCTAAAATGGTAAGTGCATACGACTGCAACTTTGTTGTCTGTTTATTATAACATAAAACTCTGTTAAGAGTTTATATTCAGTGAATGAAAATTCTTTGCATAGCTTACTTTACTCTCTTTGTTCTCCATGTAAAAGTTCACAGCTACATAGATAAGTCAGTTCTTAATAGCCAATTCTTAATTGCCCTTGTCAAGATTTAGCACAGTCAATGGAGAAACTACTGATTTTTTAATGTGTCTGAAAGCCATAGTCCCGTCCAACATGGATACATGATATGAGATTATGGCCCTAGGGATCTATGAACAGATGGTGCACATATACGGTATGACAATACATTTGTGTGCTATGATTTTGCTACTACAGCCTCTTACCAGGCTGTTAAGCTAGAAAGCCAAGGATCCATTCTATTAAAATTATTTAAAGCATTTTTCCATCCTTAAATTACTTCTATGACGGTTTATCAAATACAGTAGCAGCACTATTCTCTAAAAATTACTGTCTTTTCTACAAATCACTGAACTATGAGTTATGCTGAACCTTGGGTGACACAATAAGGCTTCAAAATATTGCTTTAGAAGCATTTCACTTATTTCAAAATTAAAGCATATCATAAGAGATTTCTCCTAGTTTTGCCTAAATCTTCTACTTCAGGCTTTAAAAAGAACAAAAATCCACAAATCTGAATTTTTCTACTGCCACCCAAAATTGTCTCTCTCACATATACAGAAATAAAAAAAGGGTTTTCATTCTATATAGCTCTTCATCTTGTCAAGAAATACTGTATAAAATAGATTTGTGTGTCTCCACTGCTAAAAACACATCTTCAAAGTTTTAATATTTCATTTTATTAAAACAGTACTAACGTCATTTAACAGTTTTGTAGGAAAGAAGAACGAAGGAAGCAAACTACTTTACAAGGGCTACCAAATATCCAACTACAGATTTATTTTTTTATTCCATTCAAAAATGTATCCGATTTTCAGAGACTGCCTGAACAAGTCCCTGCAGTTTTATTGGGAAGATTTTTTAAAAGTGGTTTGCCACATTGCCTCCTTCCTAGGGCAATACCTGGTCCACATATTCTAATGTAGGATTACAACTCACAGCTTCCCAGTTTATACCGTGATGCCTTAACCCAGTGGTGGCGAACCTATGGCACGGGTGCCAGAGGCGGCACTCAGAGCCCTCTCTATGGGCACGCGCGCCATCCCCCAGTCCTAGGCCTTCAGCTGGGTTTTATAAAACCTTTTCGCTTTAGCCTACGCCTCCGTGTGCAAAAAAAAAAAAAAAGTTCAATCAATCAGTCAATTTCAACTTCTCGCGGGGAAAAAAAAGATCTTACAAAGTTGGAATTGATTGATTGAACTTTTTAGTCCCACCCAGTCTGCTGTTACCACCACAGTCACGCCCACTCAATGGGCCACACCCACACAATGGGCCACACCCACCCAGCACCCAATGATGCATAAGTGGGTTTTGGGTTGCAGTTTGGACACTCGGTCTCTAAAAGGTTTGCCATCACTGCCTTAACCACTACACCAAACTAGATTTCTCAGAACTTTCTTTTAAAAAAATATTTTTATGGATTTATCTTTATCATAATATTTATTCTGGAAAATGTTCAAAATTTTCTTATGGAGTAAAATATCACTTCTTCAAAACAATAAATGATCAGATATTTAGGGGAAAATAATATAATTTAGGGATGATCAGTTAAAATCAAACTACCCTAAAACATAAAAATGAAACATGGTAATTCAAGAACCCAGCTGCACACAATGACAAAGAAGAAGTAAAGGGGGGTCATCAATAAAATGCAGGAATACAACATAATTGATGGGTCTCAATCTGTCTTAATTTGACAAATTCTATTTCCCACAGGATGGTCCACAGTAATTCAGGACATGCAATAAGTACCATGCTAAGACAACCTATCACATTTGTCTTAACTTTGTGTCATTTAAATAAAGAAACCAAACTAACTAGCCCATTCAATATATCCTTGTTCACACAAGTCTTAAAATTATGCTTAATATTTTATTCTACCTTGCTGTAGTCAGCTCAGTAGCATCAAGAGCAGCATCACAGAGGACTGTGATCAGTGGTTTTTCCAAAGAATCCACATCAGGCTCCAATTTAATGGAAACATCAGGAACAGAAGAACTGGGTAAAAACAAATGGAAATATATTAGAATATATTTTCTGAAAAAAAGGTGTTTCTGGAATATCACATCAAAAGATGACAAACATTGCTGTCAAGGATTAGTACTAGTAATTACTTCAGTGTGATCAATAGATATTTCTTTTTCAATATGTTTTTATTGTTAGCTTTCTGTATCCTTCTCTAAAAGCTCTTCTATCTGATAGCTAGAGGTGATTTCACAACAAGGCATATATCTTTGTAAAAGGGTTTTCATACATTTTAAAGTCATCTTTCAGATCCAAAAGATAACTGGAAAATTCAGGTTCTATTTCTGATGTCTTTTCATATTGGGATCCCATTAAATTTGGCTGACAATGTAATTCAAAATATATTAATGGAAAACTCAAGTCTGTCTTTATAAAAGTCTGACTGGAATGAAGAACAATGTATTTTAAATGAACCAGATTAAGCAGATCTATAAATATAAATGAAAGGAGAAAAAATCCTAAATAAATCAATAAACCCAAAATAAAGATTTAATTTTAGCTTTCTTGAAATGCCACAAGCTGGAGGGATGGCACATAACACTGCTAGATCAAGCCAATGTCAATCATAATCACAGCAATCCAGTTTACAAGAGAGTAAATATTGGGATAGACCATGCAAACATAATTTTATTAAGAATTGTTTAAAACTATGCTTTGTTGTATAACCCATAATGGCCTAATTACATTAAAAGCTTACTTCACATTTAACAGCTATTGAAAACTGCAAATAAACAAGTAAACCACATCACAATTTATCATGCTATATAGTTCACCTTGAATCCCAAGTTAATAAAAAATAAACAACACTGCATCACCCATTTCAAGGTGACCAATAAATGTATCTCGGACTGAAGTGATCATACTCTGAACTAATACAAAATAAAGCAGACATGTCAAACTCGCGACGTCACGTGACGTCACGCAACGTATCGGAGTTTTGCCATTGCCGGCAATGGAGTGGGCGTGGCTCCGGTATAATGAAACCGGCCCGCGGCAGTTTGACACCCCTGAAATAAAGAAACAATATGTCTTGAAAAATTGAAGCCTCAGTACAGATTTTAAAATATTTTGCATACAAAATGCTCAAAAATTAGAAGTTTCTCAGATTTCCATTCTACTTTTCCACCAAAATGGTTACACATAGATTTATTTACAAATGTTCTCATGTGCTGTCTGGAAGTAGCCTGGTTAGTTCAAGTCAGAGTTTTCTGAAACCAGAATCTACTTTTTATTATTTTTTTGCTCACTAGAAATATTGAGAAGTCTGTCAATGCTTTTCGGCACAGTTGACATTTTCTGACTCCAATATATTCTAAATTGATTTGATAGACTGAAATTGGGCAGCCAATACATTTAAGTAGATAATAATGGGGCCACGGTGACTCATGTGGTTAGGAAGCTGAGCTCAGTAGTGCAAAAACCTGAGAGCGTGAGCTGCGTGACAGAATGATCTCCCGTCAATTTGTCCCAGTTCCTGCCCACCTAGCAGTTTGAAAGCCTGCAAAGGCGAGTAGATAAATAGGTACCACTTTGGTGGGAAAATACCAGGGACATGAAAGGATACTGCTCCGGTGTGCCCTGGGCAATAGTGATGTCACTGGCTAATTCTTTCAACCCCGAAGTGCCTTGGTAGGTAATTCTAACACAAACATAGTAGTAGTAATTAATAATAATAAACGGATCAGATTTGATTTAAATATTTCAGTGAAACAAATATATTTTAAACCCTTGGCAAACAAATTAGTATTTACTCACACAGAGACAGAAAGTACTACACAAGTAGAATTTTTGGAGAAAAAAAATTATAAAGCAATACTTGATACAATGTTAATTTATAACTACATGAATACCAAGGAAGAAAATGTCTAATTATTATTAAGGCTCATGAGACTGAAATAATCAGGAAAAAGTCTCAGTTTAATGATCAGCTGCATAATGACAGTTGAAATGCTCATATAATAAATATATTCAACAGATCAATTGTTTCAACCTCTAAATCACTGGTGGCATAATCAACGGCAAATATCTGAGTCAATGCGGAGTCATAATGTTCACAAAACAATCTGAGGTAATTTTTAAGTTGTTGAGGATATAATGATACATAAGCTATATACCCAAGAAGCTTCTAAATACTATGGTTTGAAGTTTGAATTTACAACATATTCATAAAATTATTGATAGAGGCACAAATATGTAAATATGCTTGCAACACACAATGCTCTTCCACATCTGCCATAGTAATCACAAATCATTTTTTTTCTCTACATACCATATTGACTTAAAATAATTATTAATACAAGATGGCTCATTCCACATTTCTTGCTGTTGAAGTCAGGGAATATATTTCAGCATTCTAAATTATCCATTATTCGGTAGTCAAATGGATTTTAAAGTATGCTGCTTCACTCAGTTTATAGTGTAAAGAACAGTACAAGATCTACACTAAGGCAACATTCTTATACAGATGAATTTCTAGGGTAGCCACACAGCAATCTAGAGAAAATCTTTAGATTGCTTTGTGCCTTACTTATAGGTCTTATTTTTTCCACAATGTATAATACATTATATAACCTCACGTCTTAGATTTCCATAACAAACTGAGAAACTGTTGTACTCTTATTTTTTGTGATACAGTATAGATTTGAACCACCATTCACTTTTTAAAGAAAGTCCTAATTAGATTCTTTGGGCCACTTTTTTTTCTTCATGCAAACTGTTCTCATGATTATTCTTGATCTAACTCAGTGAGATAATGTATTTTATGGGAGCATGCTATTATGCCTTGCTGCACTGAAGGGTCTCCAGGGGTGTATTGTGCTGCTGCCATACAGTATTATGTTGGACATATTTTGCCTTGATAATAAAACTTTTTATTGTAAGGAAATCCATACCAACTGAAGTGATGGATCACAGTCGCCTCACCAGTTAGGAATGGGGCACCTCAGCCGTTCAACAAGGCACTTTACTCCTTTTTGTTGATCTGCAAAAAAACTGTGCAGCCCTATGTTTGGATGATACAATGATGAAAAAATTCAAAGATTAAAAAAAATAACACAGGGCATGGATTGGTAGGAAAAGGTTATGTAATGTTCATACCTTCCTTTTATAAATATGCATCACTTGTTTAAATAGGGCTTTTTCCAAATGAATTAAGTCAATGTGAACTAATATATTTCACTAAGAGCCATACTGGCAACTTCTTGGTTTAAATGCTAAAATTTACAATTTAATATTTTTAGTTTAGTGTAAAATCTACACTGGAACTTAAGAATTCTGCATAGAATCACTAAGAAGGAACATGAATGTTAAATTAAGTTACGTTCAACCTCTGTTTACATTTCTGTTTATTTAGACAACAAAACTTTTCCAGAAGATCTAATGCAGGGGTCCTCAAACTACGGCCCGTGGGCCACATGCGGCCCAACCTGTCTTTTTATCTGGCCCGCCTCAACCTCCCAGTCAAGCCGTCCAATTGTGAGGAGAGGGTGGGTGGATGGTGGCGAGAGCCCCAGCCAATGGTGGGATGGCAAGTTGATGGGAGATTTTTTTCCCCAATTTCTCCCTCGCATGCCCATGGGCACACTCATGCTTTGTTCATGCCCCCTTCCTCTCCTCCTCTCACTTATTCACATTTTTTTCCTCAGGGCCAGGCTGAGAGGTTTAGGTCTCGCTTGCAGCCTCAGCCTCACTTAGGGAAGCCAAGTCTGGTGATGACGATGCCACTGCTGCTGCTGCTTCTGAGGCGGGTCCCTCGCTAGGCACTGTGGAACGCGAGCCCCAGCCTCCGCTGCTGCTGCCGCCGCCGCCATGCCAACCAAAAGGAAACTGGTGCCGCCAGCTCTCAACATCACCTCCACCATCGCTGAGGGACCCAACCCCACCGGCAGTTGGAGTGGGGCTGGAGTGGGGCGCCAGTAATGGGTCTGAGGGGAGCGGATGATGGGCGAGGTATTTGTGAGGGGTGGCTGGGGAGAGCAAGAAAAAAGGAGAATTTACTCCTGGAAGGTTATTTCAGAGTTGCGAGGGGTTGTGTGGAGCTAAGGCGATGAAAGGTCAGGGGAGCCACTGGGAGGGAGGCTGATCCTGATCCACAAACAGGGGGGTGTGCCGCATCCGGGCAAAGCCAGAGCTGATGGAGTAGCTCTGAGGAACTGGGAATGCCGGTGCTGGTAGTTGAGAGAAATTTAATTGGTCTTTAGGGTCCAGGAAAGGATGGAGGAAGGATGGGGGCAGTGGGATGTGCCCCATGGGAAAGAGGAATGAGGTCCTGCCAGGCAGGTTCTTCTGCCCTGAGACGGTCCGGAATGCCAATCAAGGAGAATATTTCTGGCTCAGGGTTAAAATGAAGGGTCCTTGGAGGGGGGTGTCTCTGAGGATGGTGGTTTTCTTGCAGACGTTTCAGGACCCAAAGTGGGATAATAAGTGAACTAATGATGTTACCTAGTTTGGGTCATGAGACGTCTACAAGAAAACTAAGAAGCTCAAGAGAGGACCAAGGAACTCACAACCACCCTCCTCCTCCTCTTCTTTTCTTCTCCTCCACTCCACAAACCCCATTCTCTTCTGGCATTGCTGATGTTACCTAGTTTAGGTCATGAAACGTCTGCAAGAAAGCCACCAAGCTCAGAGAGCAGCAAGGACTCCACAGCCGCCCTCCTTCTCCTCTTCTTCTCCTTCATTCCACAAACCCCATTCTCTTTCTGGCATTGCTGATGTTACCTAGTTTGGGTCATGAGACGTCTGCAAGATATGCTGAATGGAAATGGCACCTTGCCTTTCTGATAGATGTAACAGAGCTACTCAACAGTTTCAATGTGCAACTTCAAGGAAAGGAGAAGCTCATCTGTGATATGCATTCACATGTGAAATCATTTGAAGTAAAATTGGATATACTCATTAAACAAGTGAGGGAGGAAAACTTCTGCCATCTTCCCACAACTCAAAAACTATTTGTGGAATAACCAGCAGTTGCA